TAGAGAGAGAGAGAGAGAGCACATAAATGTTGTGTGCATGACTTGTGAATGACGTATATTTTTGAATTGTGAATGACGTATATCTTTTAGGTTGGGATATGGATGTATCAGTGGTGAATGTAAGTAGTGCTTAAGTTATTACATGTTATTGTTGAATGAGCTGATTTCTTACTGCTTGCATTGTGCATGTGTGTTTGAATGGGCTGATTTCTTACTGCTTGCATTTTCAATTATGTATGTTTAAACTATTACAGGTTATTGTTGAATGGGCTGGTTTTGTACATGGTTATATATGGTTGCATGAATTGTGAATGTTGATTGACACTCATCACAAATACCTTAAATATGTGCCTGGGTACAAGCTACTATGCAGCATCGATCTTTCATCACACATGAAAATTGGCAAGATTTACATGGCATTACCCTCAGCCTTACAAATTCTACAGAAAATGGAGACATTAAGTGTCAATGTTACAACGGCCTCTACATAATGCATATATTTTCTTTTTAATATTAAGACAGCAATAGAGTCATTTAAAAATATAGAAGCAACCTGGTATATTCCATGAAACCACCTAATATTGAAGAGGACCCCATCAATGCAATTTGGGAGCTCAAAATGATCTCATTCCATGGAATTTACATGCTTTTCTTTTCTGATATTTGCAGTTTTTATTAAAGTTGATACAATGCTCGAACATGAGTACCTCACAGAGCTGCATCCATGCTAGAATGCTTGCAAAACGTCCAAGGAGAAAACGACTCATGGAAACACCTATCGATTACATTTTGGAAATCATTTTCTATCAAAAGCAATCAGGAGACGTACATGAGTTCCAATTCTTGCAAGAAGAAGAGCATGCTCTCCACCTCCAAGGCATAACGTTTATCTAAAAGTCCAAGAGGGTCTAGAAGACAACTCACTCCCAATTAATGAATAGCCCCCAACACCTTCCAGGCCCAAATTTCCTTTGAAGTCGAATTTGAATTCGTATGTGGAAGTTGTGGTCCAGAGAAAATGGGGTCTATGTTGCAATGAGCTATGGAGCTCCAAACCATCAAGGAGGCTAGGAATTTGGAACATAGTTACACGAATCTTTCTGTTGAGGTCGCGATTCCAAATTGGAATCGCAATTCGGTGATTCCGACAAGGAATCTTCACATAAAACATTTCTAGAAACGTAGGAATCTCGATTCCGTAAGTTAGGAATCTCGTTTCATATCTTTTTAAGAATCTCGATCCCATTATTTGTGGAATCTTGGTCTCAAATTTTTTGAATCTCGATTCCAACATTTATTGAATCTTGATTCCATGTCTATTTATCACTGATTCCACGTGATGAATCTAGAATTTACAATGTAAAATTCCTCGGTGCGTAGGAGCAAGGAACTACTATTCAATCAACATGGAATTTTGCTTCAACTCCATAAGATACTTGTTTGATTTCAAAATCTCTCTTTACCCATGTGTTACTTTTTAATTCATGCAATAATATTGTGATTGATGTTTAGACTGCATTTCTCCCCTGCTACAATGGCATAATGGGAATGCAAGCAAAGAATATAATAAAATAAAATAAATAAACTAATAAAAAACAATTTGATGTACATAACATCCAATTTCCTGAAGGGTTACCAACATTTAAAGGTAATTGGAGTAGAAATCTTCATTTGAATCGAATGCTTCTAATAGTGCTAGGAGTAGCTCAAATCACATTTCTAATAGTGCTAGGATGTATTGCTTTTTCTTTAAACAATAATTGGACAAGATTCTCTAAATATTATTTTTTCTTGATTTGGATTTGGATCTGGACCAGCCATGTCTTTCATGTGTCTTTCCATTTCTCTCAACAGATCTCCCTTTAGCCATTAAACCATTTGCACGTGGCTGAGCATTGTCCTGTCTCTTCCTCAAATCATTAGAGAGAAGAGTCAAAATCACATCCTCCATCTCTATGGTATCTTTTCCATAGAGCAATGTTGTGACTAGATTCTCATACGAATGAGGGAGTGAGGATGGATATTTGTACCTTCATTCATCCGTAAGGTGTACAATTTTTGCTTAAAAAACAATCGATTTGTGAGGGGCTTCGTCATATACAAACTCTCAAGCTTCGACAAAAAACTTGATGCTGAATCCTCATTGACGATATTAAATAGCTCTTCATTCGATAAGCACATTCGAATAGTGCTCATAGCCCTCAGATGTAATTCTTCCCAATCCTCATTAGAGATGGATTCTGGTTTCTTCGACTTTCCTTTCAGAGCTTTATGTAAATCTTGTTGCACTAGCAAATCTCGAACATTGATTTGCCAAATTCCAAAATTATTTTTGCCATCAAATTTCTCCACCTCGAATTTTTCATTCGAGACTTTTACCGTCATACCAACAACCCTGAACCGGGCTTTGATACCACTTGTGCGCGGAAGCGCTCTCAACCTATTGGGTTTAGAGCGCTTCTGCGCACAACATGAATACCCTTTTCAGGATCTTGATAAGTTGTGATTTGTATAAGGATAAGGCCCTAAACAATCAAAATAAGGTGCACCATCAAATAGTGTCAAACGATGTCATTTCATTACCAAAAATCTTTATGCTCACCTGAAAATTTATCTTTATTTGTGATTATAAAATTTAAAGCTTAATCAAGCAGATCTGTAAACATTTGAAAATTTTAATAATTGACTGCTTAGATAATGCATTACAAGAAGCAATATTTCTAATATTTAAGGTCCAACTTTTTTACGTCTATGAATCTCAAGATTGAGATTATCAGATTTGAGAATTTTTCGACATCAAATCAACTTCTTCTAGTCAATTTTTTAGATGCTTGTTAGTTTGATTGTTGAGGACCTCAACCTTATATAAATGTTTTTCAAAAAAAATCCCGAGGGATTAAATGTACAAATGCTCCCGTCGGAGCGCTTGGAGTAGGGGTTTCCCACGACCTCATCCCTCTCAAAACCCCCGCCCCCTTTCTCTCTCTCTCTAACCCTGCTCCCTCTCTCTCCTCCCCCCGCCCCCATTGGTGAGGTGCATGTCTTTTTCATTACAATCAGGCATCCCAACTCTCTCTCTCTCCCTCTC